GGGTTCCAGGACTACTTTCCCTTTTGTTCCTGCTAACTTTGACTTTGATCTTTCTAATGAACTTTATGCCCTTCTCCATGAACACAATGTCCTAAGAATGAACCTTCCTAGTGATGCTTGGGATCTCAAGACAGCGTACAGCCCCAAAGCTCTGTTTTTCTACAATGCTTTCTGTGAAAGATTTTGAAGAATAGGTGCTGGCCAGGTGCAGTGGCTCATGCCTGTAATCCTAGAACTTTGGGATGCCAAGGCGGGTTGACTACTTGAGCTCAGGAGTTCAAGGCCAACAGGCAATGTGGTGAAACCTCATCTCCACAAAAAATAATAATGATAAAAATGTAGACAGGTGTGGTGGCACTGGGCCTGAGTTCCCAGCTGCTTGGGAGGCTGAGGTGGGAGGATTGCTTGGGAAGTGGAGTTTGCAGTGAGCTGAAATTGTGCCACTGCACTCCAGCTGCCTGGGTGATAGAAACAAGACTCTGTCTCAAAAAAAAAAAAAAAAAAAAAAGAATAGAAAAAAGGGGGAGCGGTAAATGTAAAGGAAAAAATCTCAGAACTCCCAAACTCTTTTTATACAAAGGGAAGTTCAACTGGAGACTGAGTGGTGCAACACCATGATCATTTCTGAAGTAGATAGCTGTTACTACAAGACCTTGTAGCAAGGCATTTGCACATGTCAGATCCCCATGGGAAGGTGCAAAGGCCTCAGGCATCTCTGGATGAGTGCCTTCACACAGTGTTCTTTGCTGATCTCAAAACCTTTTTTTTTTTTTTTTTTTTTCTGAGACAGAATCTCTCTCTGTCGCCCAGCCTGGAGTGCAGTGGTGCGATCTTGGCTCACTGCAAGCTCCACCTCTCGAGTTCATGCCGTTCTCTGCCTCGAACTCCTGAGTAGCCAGGACTACGGGCTATACCACCACACCCGGCCTGTTTTTTTTTTTTTTTGTATTTTTAGTAGAGATGGGGTTTCACCGTGTTGGCAAGGATGGTCTCGATCTCTGACCGCTGCTGATGCATGCCTCTTTTTTTTTTTTTTTTTTTTTTGTATTTTTAGTAGAGATGGGGTTTCACCGTGTTAGCAAGGATGGTCTCGATCTCCTGACCTTGTGATCCGCATGCCTCGGCCTCCCAAAGTGCTGGGATTACAGGTGTGAGCCACTGCGCCCGGCTTCAAAATCTTTTAAGATGTATATTCTCCCATAAAACAAGAACATGTCGATTGTAACTTTAGTTCTGCAATCTAAGTCTAGTTCCTAAGAATAAAGTCTGTTATATTTCAGACTGATAATGCTTACCTTTCCAGGTACAGAACAAAGGCAAAGTTAATCATTCTTCTGCCTACCCCACCTCTTCCTATCTACCTTCCCTGCTTTAAGGAAGTGTATGAACACCTGGCATCGGCCAGGTGTGGTGACTCATGCTTGTAATCCCAGCACTTTGGGAGGCCAAGGTGGGTGGATCACTTGAAGTGAGGAGTTTGAGACCAGCCTGGCCAAGGTGGTGAAACCCTGTCTCTACTAAAATACAAAAATTAGCTGGGTGTTGTGGCACGTGCCTGTAATCCCAGCTACTTGGGAGGCTGAGGCAGGAAAATTGCTTGAACCCGGGAGTTGGAGCTTTCAGTGAGCTGAGATCATGCCACTGTACTGCAGCCTAAGAGACAGAGTGAGACTCCATCTCAAAAAAAAAAAAAGAAAACCTGGTCTCTTGAAAACCACTTCAGAGAGAATGCAAGCCACAGAGGTTTTCTAGGACTCATGTTTTCCCAGGGCGTGCCCTCAAGCTCTGGCTAAATAAACCTCAATTGATTCAGACCCTTGCCTCAGCCACTCATTTTGATTAATCACCATGAGTCCTGCACAGGTCTTCACTAATCCACTTCCTGCCCAGGTGATGTGTACCTAGATGAATCAGACGCTCGTAAGTTAAACACTCTTCTCCCTTTTCAGTTCCTCCACCCTGACCACTCAGTGCTATGTGCTCTGGTATGGCCCCAGCTCCCAGGTGGTTAGTATTGGTGTAAGAAAGCAAGGGCAGGAGGGGCAGTCTGAGAAGGAAGATAGAGGCCACCAGGCATGGAAAGAGACAGGTGGGGCTGTCATTATTCAAAGGCCATGCTCTGGGTGTGTTTTGTGACTGCTTCTGGATTTGAAATCTTCTCCTCTTTCGGACCATTCCAGGAAGTCACCCTCCTCCTACTTCCCTCTCATTACACTTTCTGTCCCTAGCGCCCCTCATTTGTGGCCAAGGAATGGCTGTGCAAGTAGTTGACAGTGGAGTAAAAATGACTTTTTATGTGACTGGGAACCTGGTCCTGTTTTCTTCCAAAAGAGACTGAAGTTCATAAAAGCCAGGTTTTATGCAGGTCTGCACAGTTGAGTGTGGTATTAGGGAACAGGTGCATAAGTGAAGGATGAGACAGAAAGCAAAATGCTGGCTGTTTGTGAAATCCTGAGAGTAGAGGGGACAAAAATCATTCTGGAAGGTGAATGTCATTCAGGAGACCTTGGAAATCTTAGAGTGTCCTCTGACCAGATCGGGAGGGGAATGAGGTTAAATTACGGGGCTGGGTGACAATGGGTACACTACTTCACTTCTCTGCCTCAGTTTTAAAAATCTGTAAAAATGGGGATGGTGGCACTCAGGATGTTTTGTGAGGACTGTGCTAGCTGGAAAGCTCTTAGGATAGTGCCTGGTGCATAGTGAGTGCTGCATCAGTCTGAGCTATTATAATTATGGGAATAGGCAAAGGTGCCACCCTGGCCATCCAGCGTGGGAGGTATTTTCCAGCCAGAGTCCTGGCAGTCCACCTGGAGATGAAGATGGTTAAGGAGGAAGTTTAACTTCCAGGAAGGACTGGGGAGGAGTAACTCATGCTCAACATTCTGTGAAAATACATTTATCCAACAGCGGGAATACACGGAGTGAATGTGGCCTCTGTGGTAATTATTATCTCCTGGTTGGGGAGCATCTAAAAATGTGTTGTAGGCTCAAATGGTTTTTCCAAAAGCCAAGCCTAAAAACAGCCTTCAGGGGTGCCTTGAAAATTAGCATTCCTTTTGCCGAAAAAAAGCATTAATTTTTTTAATGGAAAGCATTCATCTTGCTAAAAAAAATCCCCTCTTGTGGCTTAGGTCATTAGCTTTGTCTCTGTGCTATCCTAGATTACAAGGTATAAATAGAAAGACTAAACAAGAATGATTAAGGAAGGGCACATACAAATTAACAGGGCAGAATTGGGATGGGTATGTGTAACTTAAGGGGAAGTATGTATAAATCTTTTTTTTTTTTTTTTTTTTTTTTTGAGACAGAGTTTCACTCTTTGTTATCCAGGCCGGAGCGTGGTGGTGTGATCTTGGCTCACTGCAACCTCTGCCTCCTGGGCTCAAGCAATTCTCCTGTCTCAGCCTCCCGAGTAGCTGGTATTATAGGCACCTGCCACCACGCCCAGCTAATTTTTGTATTTTTAGTAGAGATGGGGTATGTTGACCAGGCTGTTCTCAAACTCCTGACCTCAGGTGATCCACCCACCTCAGCTGGGATTACACTCCCAAAGTGCTGGGATTACAGGGGTGAGCCATTGCGCCTGGCCATATGTATACATTTTATGTGAACATAAAAAGGACCTCTTGTTCTTTTTTTTTTTCTTTTTCTGAGACGGAGTCTCGCTCTGTCCCCCAGGCTGGAGTGCAGTGGCGCGATCTGGGCTCACTGCAAGCTCTGCCTCCTCGCCTCCTGGGTTCACGCCATTCTCCTGCCTCAGCCTCCCGAGTAGCTGGGACTACAGGCGCCCGCCACCACGCTTGGCTAATTTTTGGTATTTTTAGTAGAGACGGGGTTTCACTGTGTTAGCCAGGATGGTCTCGATTTCCTGACCTTGTGATCCACCCGCCTCGGCCTCCCAAAGTGCTGGGATTACAGGCGTGAGCCACCGTGCCCGGCCAAGGACCTCTTGTTCTAAACAGACCTCTCCATATAAATAATGTGGGCTTTCTTGAGTGGATACCAGACTCCCTCACAAGACCATTCCAGCAGAATCATGAGAAAATGGGTAGTTGGCTTCTTTGCTAACTGGTAGGGTAGACTGTGTAAGTCGCTGAAGAGAAAGAAGATGAAGGAGCAGATGGGTGAGGATGAAAGAAACGGGATGTTAAATAGAAGGGACTGAAAGGAATGTTTACCAAGGGCTCATCGGGTACAGGCTGTGTGACTAATACCTTACACATCTTAATTTACTCTTGCACTGTCATTTTCTGATACAGTAAGAATCATCCTTGTGCTGCAAATGAGAAGAGGCTGTGGGGAGATGAAGTGAGTGGTCCAGGATCATCCAGGCAGTTCACAGCAGAGCTGGTGTGTTTCACCTTGAAGTCTGTGCTCTGGCCTGTGATTCAGACAGAAAAGTGAGACGCAGAAGGCAAGCAAAGCAAATTTTTGTTCTGGGTGATATTTATGAAAGTTACTTGTGTTAGGCAGAATAATGACCTCCTAAAAATGTCCACATCCTGATCCCTGGAACATGTGCATGTTACTTTATTTGGCAAAAAGATTTTGCAGATAAGATAAAGTTAAGGATCTTGAGATGGGAGGTTATTCTGGATAATCTGGGCGGGCTCAGTGTAATCAGAAGGGCTCTTGTAAGTGAAACAGTAAGGCAGGAGGGTCAGGGAGAGAATGATGCACCCAGAGAGACTCCACTGGCCATCACTGGCTGTGAACCCACGTCAGGAGACATAATTACAACAAATTTAGTTATAGATCTAATTGGCTTTTATTTGTGACTTATGAATTAAGGCAGCTCCACTCTACAAGTACCATAATATCTCCCCCTGGGCAATACAATAAAAGAACAGTGGATTTTGTCAAATCGGAACAAGGAAACAGAACCACAGAAATAAATACGTTGGTTAACATCACATTACTTCACATTACTTATTTGTAAAAGTTAAAGTAGAGGGGACCCCCATAGTATGCTAACTCAAGGAAACTGGAATCTCCGGTTTTTTTTTTTTTTTTTTTAATTGGTCTGTTTTGGATCTATTTGCTTCCTTAAAATTTCAGTTGGAGTATGTAGCATTTAGCATGACTGGCTCTATGCGCTCACCTCGGTGACAGTGTGACCAAACCTTAAAGCATTAGTGCTCTTATAAGTTACCACCATTTGGGGCTTTTATCCTTCATAGGTTTTGTTTTTTTTTTTTAAATTATACTTTAAGCTCTAGGGTACCTTCATAGGTTAGGATGTTCTGCTGATGACGCATTTCTTTGAGGTTTGTAATTCCAGCCAAAGAGACCATTCACTATTCGATGGCTGGCTGCATGCAAACATTTAAAGCTTTTAGAGATTACACTACACCAGGAAGTATGACTACTAGTGTGACTATTAGGAGGGTAATACCAAGAGTTGGATAGGCAAGATGCAAACCAACTAAAATAGAACAAAGAACGAGCCCGACGAGTCTAGCAATTTTAACGAAGCAGCACATTTGTTAATTTCTACAATTTATTCTCAGTGATACCCATTGTATTTAGCCATGTTCAACAAGAAGTGTCAGAAACTGCACAGACTCCTCCCTGTTCAGTTGGTAGGGAGCAATTCCATTATTTGGCATTGCATGGCTGGGTTAAACAAAAACAGGGAGTGAGAACAGGTGAGTCTAGAAGTCCAACTCTGAAAAGGACCCCACTATACATTTGAACAAACAGTTGTGTTAAAGATGCTGCTAATGTCAGCCATTGGGTGGACTAAAGAACCTTTTATATACAACACTGGGATTGACAAGATAGATCTGACACTCTGTTAAGTCACCCTCCGAAGCTACTTCTTGTGAAATACTAATGACAGCATTATCCTGCCAAGCAAAAGAGGCAGGCATAAGCAAGGACAAATTAAAAGAGGTAAGAGCCTTATCATGATGGGGAGTCTTGTTTGACATCTTGGGAAAAGCTGTCCACAGCGTGAAGTTGTCGATTTCTTGTCGTGGTTTGCAGTTTGAGTGTCTCTAGTTACATGAAGTCTCTGAGTGGCCCACACCTCAGGCATGAAGGTTTTCCCTTTAAATTTCCATTGAGTTGTCCATCTCCAGCATTCAGGGGTTCAGGAACAGAGCAGACCTTGTTCTTAGTGGTTCGATGGGATAAAATGGGATTGGAGGAGCTAGAAGAATTCAGGGTCCAGTCCAATCTACAGGATAATAAAAACTAAAAAACAGTAAGCAGAGCTGTGATGTCATAACAGATGTACTATAGTTTTTTTCAACATATTTTTTCTCTTCATAGGCATCTCTATTTCTACCAAAGATAATCCCAGTAAGACATATTTGTTTTCCAAATAAGTTTAGTCTAATCAAACTTGGCCTCATTCTTTTTTTTTTTTTTTGAGACGGAGTCTCGTTCTGTCGCCCAGGCTGGAGTGCAGTGGCCGGATCTCGGCTCACTGCAAGCTCTGCCTCCCGGGTTCACGCCATTCTCCTGCCTCAGCCTCCCAAGTAGCTGGGACTACAGGCGCCCACCACTTCGCCTGGCTAGTTTTTTGTATTTTTTAGTAGAGACGGGGTTTCACCGTGTTAGCCAGGATGGTCTCGATCTCCTGACCTCGTGATCTGCCCGTCTCAGTCTCCCAAAGTGCTGGGATTACAGGCTTGAGCCACTGTGCCTGGCCGCCTCATTCTTATTATATAAGTGCAGCAAGAGTAGCAGTTGACCACATCGTCTTTCTTTTTTTTGAGATGGATTCTCACCCTGTTGCTCAGGTTGGTGTGCAGTTCACTGCAACCTCTGCCTCCCAGGTTCAAGCAATTCTCCTTGAATAGGAGTATAGGCCTATGTATGGGCCTATTTACGCACATGAATAGTATAGGCCTATGTATGCACTTCCAGGCTGGAGTGCAGCTCACTGCAACCTCCACCTCCTGGATTCAAGCAATTCTCCTACCTCAGCCTCCTGAGTAGCTGGGATTACAGGCGCCCGCCACCACACCCAGCTTTTTTTCTTTTCTTTTTTTTTTTTTTGTATTTTTAGTGGAGATGAGATTTCACCATGTTGGTCAGGCTGGTCTTGAACTCCTGATCTCATGATTCACCCACCTTGGCCTCCCAAAGTGCTGGGATTACAGGCGTGAGCCACTGCGCCCAGCCTGGAGTCTTTTTAAGTTTGCTTTACTGGAAGTTTTTATAAGGAATTTCAGATTAAACTTTTAGAAACCTCTTGACACGAGGAAGCCAAACCAAGGGCGACTTCAGACTTTGCCAGCAGTGCCTATGGGTTCATTTATGTATATTCCCAAATATAATATCCCAATCAAATCCTGGGTAATATAACCAGTGATTTCAAATGTATCCTGTTATAAAAGGAGCAGATTTTTGTTGAGCAAATAACTATATTATTATATTTATTATTTCATATAAATATTAATTAACAATTATAATTAATCATTAATCATTAATTATTAATAAAAATAATTAAGCAATCATTAAATAATAATCATTAAATAAATATTAATAATAACAATTATTTTTATAACAATTAACATTAATAACTATATTTATTGTACAAATAAAGATATTATTATAAAAATATGAATTTTTTAATGAATTATTCATGAATAATTTCCAAATTCTGGAGCAGTCAGGTAGGGAGAAAATGTAGATGTTTCTATTTTTGTTCACAAAAGTCTACTTTACCAAATTGCTGAAAACTGTAGATAACTTAAAACAAAAAATGTTTCCTGAAATCCGGGCAACAAAACACTTAAAGAATCCACAAAATTTCAAATAAAAAATCATAAAAATATTATTTTCATTGCTATCATTTAGTCCCACGAAATTAATTATTTTCTCTACTTGCTCTTGGCTGGCAGTTTCATGAAGCTATCAGTTTGTTAAAATTTTGGAAATTCTTAAATAGTCCAATGATATGATTTTAATGTTATCAGAAACTTGTATTCAAGACTACATGTCAGAGTCTTTTCTGTAAATACCCTCAATGAAGAAGAAATTTTGGATGGTAGCTGATTGCAAATGCTTTAAGGAAGAATCAAAACAATTGTCAGGGCCTGGGCGCGGTGGTTCATGCCTGTAATCCCAGCACTTTGGGAGGCTGAGGCAGGCGGATCACTGAGGTTGGGAGTTTGAGATCAGCCTTGTCACCATGGAGAAACCCCATCTCTACTAAAAATACAAAATTAGCCAGGCATGGTGGCACATGCCTGTAATCCCAGCTACTCGGGAGGCTGAGGCAGGAGAATCACTTGAACATGGGAGGCAGAGGTTGTGATGAGCCGAAATCATGCCATTGCATTTCTGCCTGGGCAACAAGAGTGAAACTCCATCTCAAAACAAAAACAAAAACAACCCCCCCCTGAACAAAACAAAACAAAAAACAATGGTTGTGAATGACAAAGATTGAAAATGAGTATGGTTAAACATCTGATGCTGAGAGTTCATTGTGATAAGAATGCATCTCCCATAGACATTTAATTACTTCTGTGGCATATGACATTATGGCTTATAACCTATTAGATTTCTGGGAATCTCTTATAATTTTTGGAACACTCACATCAATAGCATATCCGTAAATATAACTTAGAGAAGGTTTAGCATCACTTATCATTTGACAGTGCTTCCCATATAATGGAACATATCAAATAAGGCGGCTTTTCCGTTTAGTTTCTGTTTCCCAGTTAGATTACTGAGTTCTTGGTGGAGCCCATTAATGGATAAGGCCAACAAAGTGTAGGCCTATGTATGTTGAAAAAGCTCCAGAGGCAATTCTAATCCTCCTAGCTAAAAACCATGAGTTTAGCCCCAAGTCCTACCTATTAGAACAGGGGTCCTCCATCCTGGCTACACATTAGTAGCATCTGGAGAGGCTTAAAAATTACCAATGCCTGGGTCCCACTCCAGAACAGTAGATCAGAATTGATGGTTGGGGCTTGAGCACCCATTTTTAAAAATGTTTCTAAGTGATTCCAATGTGTAGCTATATTTCCTATCAGATTTCTCTGATTTCTTGTGGCCTTCACTCCTTTCTACTTTGGTATCATGATTATTTTTCAGGTCTTATCTCCTGTCTTGGGCTTTCTGTTCCCTGGGGGTAGGGACCTTGCCTTCTTCATTTCTGTATCTGTTATGAACACATGATTTGATCGTCAGGAAAAGGTTCTCAGCCACATGCAAGATGTGTCCAAAGTTCACATGCTAATATGACACAGTGTTTGTTTTCCATGAAATAAGAGGTTGCTTGCGATGAAGGGTGTGGGTAAGTCCACAGTGCGGGTGGTGGAGGGGAGATCACCCTGTTTTTAGGTGTAACATTGAAACTAAGAATTCTATGTGCATCCGGGGTAAAGAGGCAGGGATGTGTAGAGAGTCAGATTCTAGTTAAGATGGAGGAATTATACTAGGAAGTAGAGGTAAAGAGAAGAAATTTGAACTTATCTAGCAGGCCAGAGCAGCCCCCTTTGGCTTCTTCTTCTTCTTTTTTTTTTGAGACAGAGTCACACTCTGTGGAGTGGTGCGATCTCAGCTCACTGCAAGCTCTGCCTCCCAGGTTCACGCCATTCTCTTGCCTCAGCCTCTCAGGTAGCTGGGACTACAGGCGCCCACCACCATGCCCGGCTAATTTTTGTGTGTATGTATGTGTGTATATATATATATATTTTTAGTAGAGACAGTGTTTCACTGTGTTAGCCAGGATGGTCTCAATCTCCTGACCTCATGATCCACCCGCCTCGGCCTCCCAAAGTGCTGGGATTACAGGCGTGAGCCACTGTGCCCGGCCCCCTTTGGCTTCTTAAGTAGGTGAGTGAACTAGATTTTAGGAAGGTAATGAGGCAGTCATATGCAAGAAAGATTCCAACCTTACAACAAGGGATCAAGCAGGATGTTGAACAGTTATTGGAGTTTATGGGAATGGAGAGAACGACACAAGTGAGTGATGTTAAAAAAGGACGAAGAGGCTTTGACAATGTATTGACTCTAGGAAGCAAATGAACAGAGGCTGGAGATAATTATGTCTAAGAGACAGTGGGGTCCAGGGAGCATGCAGACCAGGAAAAAAGAGACCTGCTGGAATTAGTGGGAGAAGCAGAAATTTAGGGGTAGAAGGAGGAGATCCAGTCCCAGATATAAGTGAAGAATTTTCTTCCTTTTCCCAAGCATGGTGGTCAGCCCTGCAGGAAACATGACAAGAGGAAAGGACATCATACCTGCCAGTCTTCCTAAAACACCGAAAATACACCGGGGCTGCTATATTAGAACCACCCTGGCCAGCACTCCAAACATGATGCCGACAGTGGCCACAGCTGAGAGGCCAGGAGCACTTCCTTGTGGGAAGAAAAGAGAAGGAATGAAGGTGATGTTATTCTACAGTGGGGTGCCCCAAGAACCAGCTGTCAACATGAAGTAGTCTTGACTTGTTCCTTCAAGGAATACACTAGTTTTGTGGGAAGGTTGCAATTTTTTCTCTCTCACCATGTTTCTAGGTTGGTGATCAGTCTTCTGTTAATTTCATCCTGGTCTTTCTGCACTTGGACATTTTCGAAGGCTTTGAAAATTTGAGAAAGTCTGATTGCTGCTTTTGCATATTGTTAGAACTTTCTATGTTTTTATGGTTGCATCTTTTCCTCAGTGTCTCAGTTGTGGCAGCCATGAATTAACAGTCTGTTGGATCTCCATGGCAGGGACTTGATTGACAGAAGGCCCAGGCTAGTGCATTCTGAATTTACCATGTTCTTTGCCCAGATAACTCACTTCTCATGGGCTCCCACCAGGGGAAATAAAGCAAGCCCAGGTCTGTGAGACCCTGCTTCACTCTCATGGGTGAGGGGTTCAAGGATTTCCCAGCGGCCTTGAGGAAACTCAGAACTGCACTGCTATCTGAAACTTCCCTCCTTCTCTTTCTCCTTCTCAGGAATCAGATCTGCATCGTTGTCTAAGGGCTCTCTTAGGCTCTGCTCTCACTGCTGCTCCACTTTCCCTCATGGCTGTTTTCCCTAGTGAATTATCTTGCACCTCTAATCCCATCTTGGCTGCAGCTCAGTGGATGAAAGCTAACATACCAGGCTTGATTCTTTGCAGGGTTTTTGCTCTCTCCCATGTTTAGCCAGTAACCATGTCCTAGTGGGTTTCCATTTGGTGCTTAGCCCTCATCAGTCAATGAGGGTGATGGTTAATGCTATGTTAGCTACTGTTGAGGGGCACGTCCTAGGTGCCAGGCCCTGTGCTAAATACTTAACCTGTATCTCATTTGATTTATACAATAACCCTCTTGGGTAGACATTATTTCCATTTTACAGATGAAAAGACAGAGGCTTAGAGTGATGAGAAAACTTATCCAAAGTCATACGGTTAGTGACAAGTGGATTTAGAATTTGATTCTAGGACTACCTGACTTCAAGGTTAATGGTAACAGTAGTAATAATAATAGCTAATATTTATGAAGCTTTTCTTCGTGTGTGGCATTTTGCTGAAGGCTTAATCAAATATTACATTAAATCTTCAAAACAATACTATGAAACAGGCACTGTTATTTCAATTTTCATTTTTTCCATCCATTTCCTAGTGATGAGAATTATCGTAATTTTCAGTTAAAGAATTGAAGGCTCAGAGAAGTTAAGAATCTTGTACAAGAAACTGATAGTGGTAAATACCTACATGAAAATAAAAGAGACCTCAAATCAACAACCTAACTTTACAAATTCAGGATATAGAAAAAGAACAAAATCGACCCAAAGATAGTGAATGAAGGAAACAATAAGAATTAGAATTGAAATAAATAAAACAGAGGCTAGAAAAACAATAAAGAGAGTCGATGAAACCAAAAGTTGGTTCTTCAAAACAGATCAACAAAATTGACAGTCATTTACTAGGTTGATTAAGAAAAAATTACTAAAAGCAGAAATGAAAATGGGGGCATGGTGGCTCACACCTTTAATTCCAGCGCCCTGGTAGGTCAAAGGAAGAGGGTTGCTTGACGTCAGAAGGTCATGACCAGCCTATGCAACATAGGGTGACACAGTCTCTACAAATTTTTTTTTTAAACTAGCCAAGCATGATGGTACATGCCTATAGTCCCAGCTACTCAGGAGGCTGAGGTAGCAGGATCACTTGAGCCCAGGGGGTTGAGCCTGCAAGTAAGCTATCATCAAGCCACTGCACTCCAGCGTGGGGTTGAGTTACAGAGTGAGACCTACTCTCAAAAAAATTGATGACATTGCTACCAATTCTACAGAAATAATAAAGATTAAAAGAGTGCAGTAAAGAATTGTATGCCAACAAATTGGATGACCTAGATGAAATGGGCAAATTCCTGGGAACACAAAAAAAACCCCTATAATTAGTAATAAGGTTTAGCCAGTAAAAACATTTGACAAAATTCAACATTCTTTTATAAATAAAAACACTTTGTGAACGGAGGGAAACCGCCTCAACATAATAGAGGCATACTCCATGGAGAAAGACTGAAAGCTTTCCCTGTAAGACCAGGAATAAGACAAGGATGCCTGCTTTCGCTACTTCTCTTCAACATAGTATTTAAAGTCCTAGCTGGAGAAATTAGGCAAAAAACAAACAAACAGACAAACATCCAAATCGGAAAGCAGTAAAATTATCTCTGTTCACAGATAGCTTAAACTTCTATGTAGAAAACTCTACAGGGTTGGAGTTGTTGCTGGTGATGTAGGGCTTGGGCAGCTCCGCTGTGCAGACAACAGAAGATTGCCCTGTGTGGCACCTTTGATTCCTCTGCAGGCATCTTTCAATCAGAGATGGCATCTCCCATCCCTCAGCCCACCAGAGTCCTTAAGAGCCTAGGGCAGGTGTGTGTGTCAGAAGATGGATGCGTGACGATCTGAGGGCTCAGAGAGCATGAGGCCACCTGCTTTGTGTGGGAGAAGCACAGACTTTCTCAAATGCGAATAGAGTAGAAACATTGAGTCATGGGCAGACACAGGACTGAGAGCCACAGCCTCTGGCACCTCTCCTGTTTCCTCCCTGACTGGCTGACTGCCTGGTCTTTTGGGGTGCTCACCTGGAACATGCAGGTGCTGTTTCTTTCAGCTGCACAGTCCCACACCACCCAGCCAAGATGTGTTTTTTTCTGAGGCTTTGCTATTTAAGGACATCCTGGAGATGGGTGATGATGGGGATGGCGGTTTGAGCAGGAGACCAGAAGCAAGTCTAGAGGTGAGTTCAGGGGTCAGGCTGTGGGTCACAGGTGGGCAGCTCTGCCCAGGAGTTTGATGGGAACAGAGTTTCACTTTGGGAGGAAGAAAAGAGTTCCGTGGGTGGATGGTGGTGATGGTAGCAGAACAATGGGAATGTGCTTAATACTACAGACATGCACTTATGGAAGGGTTAAAATGGTGAGTCCTATATTAGATATATAGTGGCTGGTAGTCTTACCCTCTCTATAAATACACACTTTTTGGCACTACCCCTTCCCTGCCATGCAGAGTCCCCGAGGCTGAATCTCCCTATGTCTCCAAGTGTGCATCACTTGCTGTCCTCTGTGCTGTGTCCCATGTGCTGTGCCCACAGCCTTATACAGCCAGTGACTTCAGAGCCAGGACACAGCTCAGTAGTCTGCCCTGAGGCTCCATGTCTTCCCATTTTCCTGCAGCCTGATCCAGGGGAGGCTTTGGTGTTGATTAGCAGCTTTATTTAGCCTGATTCAGGACAAACACCTGGGCACCTTCTCCATATGCCCTGGTTTCACCTTAGGTGGCTTCAGGGCAGGGTCAGTGAGTCACTAGGGGCGCTGGGAGCAGAGATGGGGGCAGAGTTTGAGCTGCTCGTTCATCATCCAAGGGGCTTCTTCTTCTCATTTAAGGAAAAAGTGTGAGCTCATTTCAAAGCCTCCTTGTCCCTTGTAGCTTATGGAGTAGGTAAAAGAACACAAAGAAGTGACAGAAAGGGAACTGTTGGTGACAGACAGCAGCAACTTGACCCTGAGGACTCTTCCTCCTTTTTCCTCTGTGAAGCCCCCTTCACTACACAGGACTCAGGGCTGAGGGAGCCCCCTCCTCTCATTGCAGGATGGACCCAAAGACAGACATGAGAAATCAGAAAACAAAAATAACAAAAAACAAGCAAACAAACAAACAAACAAAAAACAAGGCGAAGAGAGTCTGCAGAGGTGAACTGGGAGGGTTCAGGGGAGAATTTGGGATTTGCTTGTGCCCCTTGGACACAGGTTGGGAAAGAAAATTTTTTCCTGGCTCTTCTCTGAGAGCCACATTCCACCTGAAAATGTGATGCCAGTGCTTCGAGGATCCACTTACCAGAGACTGTGATCATCATGACTGTGGTCCTATTGAGGCCAGTGACTGAGTTATGGGCTTGGCACATATAGGATCCGCTATTATTCACAGTGATGTTGGGGATAAAGAGCTCTTGTGTGGATTGCTGGAACGTCCCATTGACAAACCAAGAGTACTGTGCAGGTGGGTTAGAGGCTGCGTGGCAGGAGAGGTTCAGATTTTCCCCTGGACGGTAATTGGAGTTTGAGGGGGAAATGGTGGGGACATCTGGGCCATCTGGAGGAAAAAGAATAAAGCCACAGATGATGTTGTCAGAGGAAAGTATAAGTTCCTGGTCTGTGGAAGTGCAACAGTGTCCCCCTGAGCCATGTCACAACCCTGAAGTCTCAACCAAACCCCCGCTATGTCCCCTGAGCCAACGTCTGAGACATTCACCTGTTTCTCCCATCAGAAAATGTGTACCCTGAGCCTTAAGGACATCATGGAGATGAGTGATGATGGGAATGGGTGTTTGAGTAGAAGTAGCACAGGAGACAGCCCCTCACCTCCTATTCTTGGTCAAGGCCTGGTCTGCCCAGGTTTACTCAGGGCAGGAAGTCATGGCAAGCCTGGGTGAGGGTCTGAGTGCTTGGACCTGAGAGGGACCGAGAGGCCTGGACTCTGGCTGTGTGGATTTGGGCTGGGGGCCTGGGCCACAGAGGAACAGAAGATACTCACAGAGGACATTCAGGATGACTGGGTCACTGAGGTTGGCACTCACTGGGTTCTGTATTTCACATTCGTAGCCTCCTGCATCATTCCTTTTGACGCTGAGTAGAGTGAGGGTCCTGTTACCATTGGACAGCTGCAGCCTGGGACTGACCGGGAGGCTCTGACCATTTACCAACCACAGGTAGGTTGTGTTATGAATGTCAGGTTCACAGGTGAAGGTCACAGCATCCTTGTCCTCCACGGGGTTGGAGTTGTTGATGGTGATGTAGGGCTTGGGCAGCTCCGCTGTGCAGAGAACAGACAGAAGATTGCCCTGTGTGGCACCTGTGATTCCTCCACAGGCATCTTTCAATCAGAGTTGGCGTCTGTCATCTCTCAGCCCCCTTGAGTCCTTAAAAGCCCATGACAGATGTATGTGTCACACGACAGATGCACGATGATCTGAGGGCTGAGATTGTGTGAGACCTCCTGCTCTGTGTGGGAGAAGCACAGTCTTTCTCAAGTGTGAATTGAGCAGCAGCACTGGGTCATGGACAGACACAGGATCCGGGGTCACAACCCCTTGTGCTTCTTCTGGTTTCTCCCTGACCAACTGCCTGCCTGGCTTCCCTTGGGGTCTTCACCTGAAACATTCAGGTGCTGGGTCTTTTCAAGCTTTAGTCCTACTTCGCCCCCCCCGGCTGTATTTTCTGTGTGGCTTCCTTTTCTAAGGACATTCTAGAGATGGGTGATGATGGGACTTCTTACTGTTCTTAAACCCGAGGATACTGTTCAGCCTGGCCTGGGATTGGATGTTTCAGCAGAATTAACACAGGGGACACTAGGGGCAAGCCTGGAGGTCAGTTCAGTCGTCAGGCAGTGGAACCACAAGGTGGGCAGTATTTCCCAGGTGTTTAATAATGACTGACTTGAGCCTGTGACCCCTAAAGATAGAGCAGAATTCAGAGCATGATCTAGAAGACAGTGAGGGGGACAGGTAGGAGCTGCCTGAATATAATAGCAGAACTATGTTCCTTTTCTTTGACCTTTAATGTTTCTTCTCCCTCTGCGGAGGGCAGGTGAGGACTCTGTGGATCTCTCCATAAATACATGTGGATGTTTGCAAATGCAGAGCTGAGTGGTGGAAACGGGGAGCATGAACTGCTGCAAATCTGACCCTCAAGGACCATGTGTGTTTGACAGATATGAGACAGAAATTTGGGAAAAAGTTTTGCAAATATTTTCTCCCATTGGACATTATGTTAAATGAAATAAGTCACTCACAGGACAGATACTTCAGGATTCCACTTATATGAGGTCCCTAGAGTAGTCACACTCATGGAATCAGAGTAGAATGGTGATTGCCAGGGGTTGGGAGAGGCAGAATGGGGAGTTGGTCAATGGATGTAAACTTTCAGTTACACAGGATGAGGTTCTAGAGATTTGCTGTTCAGCTTGGTACCTATAGTTCATACGGACTGAGTATCACTTACGCATAAGGCTTAGGACCAAAAGTGTTTTGGATTTCTGACTGTTCTTGGATTTTTGAATATTTGCAGTAGACTTACCCGTTTAGCATCCTACATCTGAAAACCCAGAATCCAAAATGCTCCAGTGAGCATTTCTTTTCAGCATCACTTTAGTGGTCAAAAAGTGTTGGATTTGGGAGATTTCAGATTTTGGATTATTAGATTTGGGATGCTTGACCTGTAGTGCCGTAATTTGCTTTGAAAAATTTGTCAGGTGTTTAGACCTCATGTTATGTTCTGAATACAGTCAAAAATGAAAGAAATTTGGGGGAAACATTTAATTTTTTCCATAAGTGGAGATTGTTACTAATGGCCTAAAGATGGAAGATCAATTGCTAGAAGTGGTATTTTTCTTGATAACATACTAAGGGTTAGGTGTGCTGTAAATTCCAGTAGGATCACATTGTCCTCAAATGAAGATGTTGAAGTTGGTTTGAAATTAGCAACTCCCTGAGTAGAGAGAGGCACATGAGCCCTTTTAGGAGGATAGAACCAGTCAGATAGGAAGTCTTAGGTGTGTCAGTTACATAAAGGAAGGAACGATGCCAAATTAGAAGCAACGTGGGTTATGTTAGTAAATTTAGAAAGAGCTCCCTGCCCCTAATTCCTGTGCAGAGTTAGGCAAATAGGGAAGGAGCCCAAAACAGGCATGTGAAATGCTTTCTTCATCTCCTGTTAACCTCAGAAAACACAATGAGAGTTTAAGTTCATCTAAACTGGGCAGAGTCTATGTGAGACTCCAGTGACTGATGCACTTCTCAGTCCAAGGGATCCCACCTTATGACAATGGCATCATCACGAGGACACAGGTGTATGTGGAATGGGCAGCAAACCCATCAGACAGCACCTGCCTGGCCGGCTTCACCTGGGGAAGGTCCTGGGGAATGTCTGGAGGATGTGAGCCTCACATCAAGATGAGTCTGGGAGTCAATGGGTGAAATTAGCCTCTGGGCCTTGGGGAAAGCAGATCTGTCATCCTGCCTCTGAGCCCCTGGTGAGTCAGTAGAGACTGTATGGAGGAGTCGCTGAGTTGCTCATCCCTGTCCCGTGGCCTGTTCCACATGTCAGCCTCACAAGGGGAAACAGCCCTGTTATGGGGACACAGTGGAAGCTCGTTCTCCTGGCGACCTGGGGACAGTGGCTTGCGAGGGACCTGGCAGGGGTGGCTGCTCCAGTTGATTTCTGTGCCTTCGCTGTTGCCTGGGAGATGGGCCGGGACACAGTGTGAGCAGGAAGGGAACAGGACAGTCAGCCTTGTTAGAGGGGCTTTCTGGAGAAGGCCTAAGAGTGGAGGAAGCTGTGCAGGGCAGGGCATCCCAGCTAAAATGAAAGGGGGGGAAAATGAGGGACATAGAGGGGCAGAAAGAGCCAGAGATACCTATAGCAGTGAGCAGTGGGGGCTACAGTGACCTCAGAGACCCCAGGGACCAGGAGCCTCTTGGCTGCCCCAGGCCAGGACCAGAGAGACCTGAAAACCCTCTAATGACCAAGGAACCCCAGTCACATGAGATGGGGTAGGTTTAGGGACAGGGGTTCAGAGGGATGGAATATGGGTTTCAGCCCGTGAGGGACAAGAAACAGGTGTGGCCAGAACCTCATAGGATTCTGCATCCAGGAACTGGTCTCTAAAGAGGTTATGGATCCTTTTTTCATTCCTTCTTCCTTTCTTCCCTTCTTCATGAGAGAACTCCTGAGTGAGCGTGTGTCTCACTTTGGGCCTGTGCTGGTGTAGGGTGTGAATGGGGAGAGAAAGCAAAGTCCTCTCCTTTATCCTCCCGTGTGAATGACACCAACACATCGGGAAACACAGGATTTCAGGTGCAGTGAGAGGGCTGTGGATCGGAGGGAGAGACCTGGACAATCCCAGCACTGACTCTGTTATTTGAGGCAGGTGATTTAGTTCCAGAGTAAAACTGAGTAATTCTCTGTTTGCTTCTTACTTTCCAGACCAGAATCTCCACTTCTGAGCCGTGGATGCACAAGACAAAAGGAAGTGAACCCATGACTGGTCTCAGGTCTGCAAATGCCTGACAAGGAACAGCCCCACCCACCCCCGGTTGAGGAGAGGAGGCGGCTCTGGCTGCAGACAGACCTCATAGGTCTCTAATCTGCCGCCTATGGCCTGTGTGACCCTTGTTAGTGACTGTCTCCCTGTCCCTCAATTTCCTTTCAATAAGTAGGATAAGTGCTATTTGGCTGTGAGGTTGTGAGTTAACCTCAAAATATTTACAATTACTTGATCTCAGCTCTGCACAGAGGAGCTGCCCAAGTGAACAGCATCTATGATTGTTTGCTTCCAAGAGAGAGGGCCCTGGGCCTGATCCTTGGTGGACATGCAGCTGCCGGGAGCATCCTCTCTTCTCTGTTCCTCCCCCTGGGGACTCTGAACTTCCCAGGGAGTAAACTATGTCCCCTAGGGCAGTGGGCTCATACCCTAGTAATTTTTTCCATCTGTCCTTTCCATGCTGAGCCTCAAGTGAAGGAAGAGGCCCTATACTTGGCTAGATGAGGGTCTGGGGTGCTCGACCTTGGCTGGTGACCAACTCCAGGAGTCATGGCCCTTGGATAGCTCACATCCTTGCTCCCAGCCAGCCCTGCCCAAGAGGCCACCACACAGCCCTAGCACAGACTCCCTAGGATTACCTGGGAATCAGGAACCAGGGACAGGGCTTTGTACAGGGGCTCAGTTCTGGGAAGCATTGAGCTTCTCATGAGGATCCCAGGGGGCCCCCCTCAGGCCAGGCCCTGACCCAGTTCCCCAGGGTCTTTCTCAGGGTCAGGTCCATGGGGAGACCATGGGGTGCTTGGCTGACACTGACCTGCCCCTGCTGAGTCCCCCCATCAGACTGTCCTTCCTCTGCAGTGAGTGTCTGCAGGGTCTGGATGCAGGAAAAGAATTCTGATCTGTGGAAGTTTGTCTCCCCCATGTGTGTCCTGCACTAAATGTCCAAACCCCAACACAGGATGTAATGCAGAGGGGACACAGGCACAGCCCAGGCCTGACAATCCCGTATGTGGAAAGTAGAACTGACCCCAACACCCAGAGGTCATGGGGAATCACTCACGGTATACCCGGAACTGGCCAGTTGCTTCTTCAGTCACAAGATCTTGCTTTATGACTTGTAGGGTGTAGGATCCTGCGTCATTCTGGGTGACGTTCTGGATCAGCAGGGATGCATTGGAGTCTATTCTCTCTCGACCGCTGTATGCAGGCCCTGGGGTAGTTTGTTGAGTTCCTATTACATATGCCACAATTAGACGTTTGGCATCCACTCTTTCCCCTTTGTACCAGCTGAAGCCTAAAGTATTCTGGGGCAGATTGTGGGCAAGTAGAAGAACCTCCTTCCCCTCTGCGACATTGAACGGCCTGGATTCAATAGTGAGCTGGGCAGTGGTGGGCGGGTTCCAGAAGGTTAGAAGTGAGGCTAAGAGAGAGGAGAGAGCATCGGTCAATATTGGGACCTATGCATTAGGGTGGAAAAACGGGGCCCTGGGTCCTGAGCAGGTCTCTTCACCCCTCCACCTTGGAGCATGTGTGTGTGTGTGTGTGTGTGTGTGTGTGTGTCTGTCCTACTGGGTCAAAGTCAGCAGTGTGACACCCACCCATTCCTTCAGCACCTCTGACCTTGGCATTCCCCTGTGTGGAATCCTCTTCCCCAGGGGTCTGCACGGCTCCCTCCCCACTGGCCTCAGGTCCTGCTCACATCAGGGCATCTTAGGGAGACCCCTCCCCTGACACTTCCTCTAGAGACCCTGGGTCTTTTCTTTCTGACCTTTCCCTGCTTTGTTCCCTCCAGGGCTCTTGTCTACCCCTGACCTCACATTCTAGATCTCTCTGCCTGTGTTTTTTCCTCTTCATGGCAGCATGAGCTCTGTGATGACTGAGACTTGTCTGATGCTTGTTGTATGCCATTGACTAAAATTGATTGCAAATACTTGTGAATGAGTTAATGAGTGTACCTGGTGGTTATTTTTCAACCTCTGATTGGTGAGTAAGGGCAGTATTTACTGCCCTGGTTATATTTTTATTTGGAGTGTAACCCTGACGCAGTTCTGATTTCTATCATTTTTCAAATTGTAATGACTAATGATGATTAACTTGGAAAACATGATCAATTGATTTTCCTCCTTTTTTATCAATCCCAGTTTAGTGCGACTTTCCTGTTGTGACCCCTGTCCCTCTCTGGTGTTCTGTTTCCTCAGGCTTCAACAGAAGCCCTCTGTCCCCTCTCAGAGCCCTGTCCTCCCCAGGAGACCCCAGCCAGTCTCTGTGCTCCCTCCTCCCATCCACTCCCAGGGAGTCCTCCCCTCACCGGTGAGCAGGACCTCCTTCCAGGGGACACACATTCTGCAGGGAGGGGCTGAGGGGGGCCCCATGGTCTCTGCTGTCTTCTCTGTCCTCCTCTGTGTAGAGGAGCTTGAACTCCAGGAATGCTCTAGTCAGGGCTGCTGTGACTGTTGGCTCTGCTGTCCTTCCTCCTTCTGTGCTGAGCCGCCTCTCAGGGTAGGAGCATTTCCCAGGGTCACGTGGGTCATGGGTGCGGTCTCTGTTCAGGAATCCTCTATCCCCTCCCCTCTCATTTCTGTCTCTTTTGTCCCTCCTCCTCTTCCCCTTCTGTTTATATTCAGTTCTCCAGAAGACGCTCTGAGAAGCAAGCATGTCTGGACCCCTGTTCCATAACACGACGACCCGCCCTCCCCAGGGCAGACCTCTGCTGTGTCTGGGCCTTGGGTCTGTCAGCACCACACAGAGAGTCCCCGGGGTTCTCAAACCTGGTGTTATTTTCTCTGTAACAGAGAAACCCCTCTATGTGTGCAGGATGTTCCTAGTGTTCTCACACGTCTGGGAAGCTTGGATTTACTCCCAGCAAGGAGGTCACAGGGATGTTTGGGGTCCTAGAAATGGACACATCTAGGGCTAAAGCCCGGGTCTAAGATTCTGAGTCATTCTTTTTGCAGCGCTATGTGACCCTAATTTCCTGGGAGTAACTGAGAATGAAGCTGCATGGTGCTGTAGTATTGTCATCCAGACCCCAGATGTTTCTAGACCAACTTTATGATTTTCTCTACAGCGTTACCACCTTTATTATTATTTACTTCATACTTTTTTTGTAATTAAATTTAGTTTACAAAACATCCTTGTCTTAGCAGGGCTCAGTGGCTCACACCTGTGATCCCAGTTACTCAAGAGGTTAAGGTGAGAGGATGACCTGTGAGTCCAGGAGCTGAAGACAAAGTATTTTTATCTTACACAATACTGTCCATGAAATTAGAGATTTGATGTGTGCTTATTTTTTTTTTTCCTATCATGTATTAAAATAAACACAGTTAAACTTAAAGTTTATGTTTCACCTAAAATCAGTTTTGGGAAACGCTTATATAGTGATATAAGCATGGAATTTATATCCAGATAGACTTGGGCTCAGCTACTGGCTCTGTCACTTAACTACGTTGACTTGAATAAGTCACTTGACTTCTTTGATTCTTGAAACCCCGATTTGTAAAAGGAGGATGGTAAAATCCTCCTCGCAGAGTTGTTGGGAGTAAGTGAGCTGCTGTGGGATCCCAGTGCCCAGGCGGGTGTTGAGTACATGATGGTTATCCTTGGGATTATTGCTGTAGAATTCTGGTTGTTTTCCAAAGACAGTATCTATGCTGGAATATTGGGATGTGGCTTTCTGCTAATGTGCATGTGTGAAGAAGTTACTTTTACTTGTTAGGATTTGTGGTGCATCTGTCATTATTTTTATTTCCCAGTTGTACTACCTATTTTCTCTGTGATATTGGTCAAGTTGCCTAACTTTTCTGTGCCTCATTTACCTAATTTGTGAAATGTGGGTAACAGTAAACTAGTGTGCGTGTGTGTTATTTCCCAGCTCCGACCACTAGAGGGCATAGAAGCACCGGCACCTACTAGCAGTAGGCATATTGGTGACCATGGTCTGCAAACATCATTTTCCCATGAAAGGAACCAGGGGTCCCTGGAGAAATAGCTGATCCAGGGCTGGGCAAGAAAGCACAAGAGGAGCCTTGTGGGACCAGAAGGAAGCATCTTGTGGGGCCAGAAGTAAGGAACTTCTTGAAAAATGATGGGGATGTGTCAAAAGTCACAGAAACCAACTAGAAGGAGTTCCCAATGGCCAAACTGTGGACAATATCAGCGACATAATAAATAACGCCAGCCACTGGGGGCGGTGGTTTATGCTTTGGCACTTTGGCAGGCCGAGGTGGGTGGATCACTTGAGGTCAGGAGTTTAAGACCAGCCTGGCCAAAGCAGCGAAACCACGTCTCTACTAAAAACACGAAAATTAGCTGGGTGTGGTGGCGGGGACCAGTAGTCCCAGCTACTAGGGAGGCTAAAGCAGGACAGTCGCTTGAATCCAGGAGGCGGAGGTTGCAGGGAGCCGAGATAGTGCCACTGCACTCCAGCCTGGACAACAGAGCAAGACTCCATTTCAAAAAAAAAAAAAGAGATATAAAATAAGTTTAGATTTTACTTTGAGATTTATTTTGGGAATGGAAGAGCTATTATTTCTTCCAGCCACTAAGTAGCTCAGACTCAGGCCCGCATTACAAACTTTGCTTGGCTGGGAAACAAGGCTCCAGCCCGGCGCCACCCACCAACGTGGTTTGTGATGGCGCCCCCTGGCGGCGCAGCTAGCTTTCCCCAGTTCCTCACCCTAGTGCTTTAGGAGCGACTTTAGAAATTCCACTTAGTCCATTTACTGAACCCTTTCTAGGTCACGCTGCGGTTCATCTAATCTTCACAACAAGTCGGTGTGAGCAGTGGTATTTATTCATCTTAAGACGATAAAAAGGCTAAAACAAGTGAAGCCACTTGTCCAGGGTTGCAAAGGGAGTGACAGAACCAGGATTTGGATCTAGGCCCTCGCGACTTCCAGCCTGAGGGTAAATGCCTAGATGAGTGTAAATGTATGGCCAGGTGGAGAACTATCGGTATAGAGCAACGGTTGTCGACTGGAGGTGGTTTCCCCCAAGGAGACATTTAGCAATATCTAGAAATAGTTTTTGCTTTTACGAAGGAAGAGGGTGCTTGGGGGAGGGGGGAGGCTGCTATTGGCGTGTAGTGGAGAGAGCCGCACGGATGCTGCTGAACATCTCACAATGCACAGAACAGCCCTCACCACAAGGAATCGTTCAGCCCGGATGTCAGTAGAGCTGCTATGAAGCTCTGGTTTGATTTAGAAACCTGAGGGTGCATTCTTGCGATTAGCTAATGTTTGCTGAGTGCTGAGCTGGATAGCGTGAGGGATATGGCAACAGTGCACCAGTCTGTGCGGCCAAGGAAGCTTCAGCCTCGAAGGGCAGTGGGTGGAGGCAGGAGAGACACAGGAAGGTCTTCAGTATAAGGCAGCAGATGATAAGTGCAGGAAGAGAGTGTCCAGTAGGGCTAAGCCGGCTCTCAGGAGGGAGAGTGATTAGGTGTGGGAGGAGCTGAGCACTTGTCTGGCCTGTGGGAAGATGGTTTTTGAGTTAAGTGTATTAGCAAAGTTGAACTGGTGGGAAAACACAAACTCTGTTTAGGGAAGGGCAAACAGTCTAGTTTGGGTGGAGAGAGAGTAATTTTTAGTGAGTGGAGGCGGTTGCACTGGAAACAGAGGTTGGGGCTAGAGCTTTGAGTCCAGGCTGAGGACTCTAGCCTGGGTGTCTGTCACAGTGATGGGAAAACCTTCCCTTCCTGAATGGGGGTTTAGTCCCCAGGGTTATGGGGCTCAGCAGCTTCCAGAACGCTCTCTCGACAAAGCTAGGAACTTGGAGTGGAGAAGGGTGGAAATTGGAGTGGAGAAGGGTGAACATCTCCTGATTTTAGGAGACGCTAAGTATGTAATAAAGCTGTTTCGCCTCAATGTGGCCCTTGAGGAGATGGTGCTCCCAGGTGGAAATATACATGGGGCTAAGCTCTCTTCTGCATTGTTTCTTTGCAAAGGGCTTGGCCACTTTGGTTGTAGTGAAAACTGGAGCAGATTAGAAAGCCTTAGCCAAAGGTCTGCTACCCACATGGTGCACTGTTGCAGCAGGGCTTGGTGTGGCTAAAGCTTCAAATATGGACACCACCTGGTGACAGGATTTTCTTCCGTTTATTAGCTACCATTAAATAGCATTAAAATATGTGCAGGCTTGGTGCACTCTAAAGAATGTAAAGAATACAAGCAAAGTTTGAGATCTGACTGAGCAACATAGTGAGACTTAGACTCTAAAAAAAAAAAAAAAAAGAAAAGAAAAAGAAAAAAGAAAAACTAGGCAGGCAGGCAGAGTGGTGCACACTTCTAGCCCTACTTGCTTGGAAGACTGAGGCAAGAAGACTGCTTGAGCCCAGGAGTTTGAGCTGTAATGAGCTATGATTGCACCATTGTACTTCAAGCTTGGGTGACAGAGTAAGATCCTATCTTAAAACAAACAAACAAACAAAGAATATAAGCAAAGAGTTCCTTATCTTTTATGAATATATAGTTGCCTTCAATACCCTCCCACTACTGCCACCAAGTTTGACCCTGGGGAAATGCATTACTCTTCTGGAAAAGGCTTGGAGGCAAAGGCATGGGAGCAGATATTTGTTGAACCAATATGTACGTATGTATATATTTGCCAGCCGTAGTTGCAGACATTTTCACATACAATATTTCATTTAACCCTCACAACACTGGATGTAAGTACGGTTTACTCCTTTCAGTAAATGAGGAAACTGGCACTGAGAAAGGCTCAATTGCTCCCAGTCCAGTAGCTGAAAGGGCTATATTTTGATGTACCTGTGGCCTGTTTGGCTCCATTTCCTCCCCACATTTTCCCCTTCATAGACAGTCTTATTTACCTGGATTCAGGCTGCTAGAGACCATGGACATCAGCATTAGTGGCAGCAACAGGAGGAGGGAAGAGATTAGAATTTTTATTGTGACTGTCGGTGGAACTGTGTGTTGCTTGAAGAGTGTATGAAAGGTTCCCGGCTGGAAGCTCCTGATCTCCGGGGATGGCTCATCCTGGTGGTCTGCAGTATAGTCCCAGGGTAGTGTTCCTATTCGAGGGCAAGAACAGGTGAGATCATGCTTTCCTGCTGTTAGGTAACAGATTAGACCATGTGCTTTACGGGAATCTGGGAAGTGAAACTGGTCAAACAAAAGAAATGCAGCATTCTTAAGAACATAAGAAGGTGACTGATAACTTGGCAGCCGTGCAGTTCTCTCCTGTACTCCTTTCCAGCTCCCCACACCCCAGTGCCTCATGGTTTCTTCCTCAAGTCTTTTTTCTCATTTGAATTTTCTTGTACCTTTCAATGACCTTCTCTATCTGGGTATTTGGCAGGAAAGTGGGTGTTACGTGTTGGTGGAGGAGACGTTGACAAGGTCTCTTTCCCCTCCTGCTCCCATCCTTGGCAAAATATCAGCAATAGTAGTGTTGTGGCCTGGGACGTTGCCCTGTCCTCTCTCTGTTCACAATTCCCTTCAATTCTGTAGCCACATAAGGTAGCAGCAGAGCAGGATCCGGGACAAGAGGCAGCTCCCCTGCCCAGAACACCGCCCTGGAGCAGTGGGTGACACCAGGCCTCCTTGTGTGTCCAGCAGGAAGGTGGCCATGGC